TGTAAAAACCTTTGACTCTAATGTCAACAAAACAAAGACTTTTGAACTCCATCACATATCACATTTTTAATTAAATAATGCCTCATTTGCATTTTTATACATAAGATTTCATAAAACTTAATTGATTACAAAAAATAATCGTCATAATGTAAGAAATCTGGGGAAGTTTTCATGCTGATATTCTGTTATTTTTCTAAACTTTGACCCCATTCACCTGTCAGATGAGTTTACTATAATACCGTATTTTAGGTAGTTTTTTGTCTTTCAAAACTTGCTGGAAGCCAGGATTTGTCGCCCTTCAGCAGCCTGTCCCGTACCATCACCAAGACTTCCAGTGTGTTGCTAGTGTCTTCTCGCGTGTATGGCTGAAGGTTGTACTTGGGACAGGGGTTTCGCTGCTGATGTCATCGATTCACGAGCGTGACTTTTTTGACACGATATTCTGTTATTTTTCTAAACTTTGACCCCATTCACCTGTCAGATGAGTTTACTATAATACCGTATTTTAGGTAGTTTTTTGTCTTTCAAAACTTGCTGGAAGCCAGGATTTGTCGCCCTTCAGCAGCCTGTCCCGTACCATCACCAAGACTTCCAGTGTGTTGCTAGTGTCTTCTCGCGTGTATGGCTGAAGGTTGTACTTGGGACAGGGGTTTCGCTGCTGATGTCATCGATTCACGAGCGTGACTTTTTTGACACTTTATTTTAATGAGACTGTGGAATGATTCATGGTATAATCCGAGTGGTGATTGTTTTGCCTTGTATGAGGTCGCGACTTCATTGACAGTCTGTGTTTCCTCTATGGCGTTGAAGCAGAGGGGCGGAGCCTCCTGCGGTTTGTGGTTGGTTAACCCACCCGAGCCGGCACGTTCAGTGGGGGGATGTGGAGCATGAACTGCTCCTGTGTGTGTGTGTGGTGTGGTGGTGGTGGTGTGGTGTGTGGGTGGTTGTTGTGTGGTGTGTCGGTGTGGTGTGTGGCCGTGTTTCTGGTCGTGTGTGCCCTCTGTGTGTGTGTGTGTGTTTTGTCTCTAATGTTGTCTCTTCTTCATGCCTCACATTCCCAGCAGGGCTCTGAAATACACTACAGCATCCCTCTGACCCAGTTTCACTGCGCTCTTATCCCTCTTACATGTGTGTCACTGAGTGTGTGAGTGGAAGCTACCAGTCAGACTTTTACCTGCTGTGTAATAAAAGCAGAGCAGTTCCATTAAATATCATTTAAACAAATAAGAGATATACACTGTGAGATATAAAACTGTGAAAAATCTAACAGGATATTTTTGTAATTTTATCAATATTTTCAGGTATTTGAAAAATACAGAAAGAATCTGTAAAATAAAGATGAAAAACCCCCAAAACCTTCAGATTTTTTATGTGTGTAATGTATAATAATATCGCATCGGATGCATCAGTGGCAGAAGGTTTCCTTTTTATAATTTATTCCAAAGAGTTTTAAGCATTTTCTTGTGATATAATATTTATTTGCGATGTTTTCGGGATCAGGCAAATGATAGATAGGCAATACTTACTTCGTCTTTCCAGCAGGAGGCGCTGTGAGTGTGACTGAATGTTGGCATGTAGGTGTGTTCAAGGTGAGACTGATAATCAGATAATCAAAGTGATTTCACCATGTGGTCGCATAAAATCAAACGTCACAATGTGAAAAAAGTATTTTTAAAGAACCTTCTGATCAGACAGTTAATAAACACAAACATGAGGCTGAGCTGTCATTAGATGTGATCAATAACTAGTGATTGACAGCCGACTGTGCTGTTCCGTAGCGATAGCAAGACACCTCCCCCTGTTAAGAGACTGTGTCTGTGTGATCAGGACGACTCCAGACAATTAAAACCATTAATTATATTTTAACTGATTTCTCTTAACCACTAACCTGTTGTAACCTGTTGCAGGCTGCTGCTGAAGGCCGGCATCGACATCAACAAGACCACCAAGTCCGGAACGGCTCTGCACGAAGCTTCTCTGTATGGGAAAACAGAGGTGGTCCGACTGCTGCTGGACGTAAGTTTGTACATACAGAACGTACAGTACTGAGGTCAGAAGTCACCTGTGGGACAGGTAGAAGTAATGTCATCAAGTCTACAATGATCAAACCGTCAGTTTCTTAGTTTTTTAGTCAAGTCATTTTCCTTTATATTAGTGCAGCAATCGACCTTCAGTCTTTCCTACAAATCTCTTGAAACAAGTTTATAGTTGAGGAACGTTCAGACATCATGAGGACGAGGTTGAAGTGGATGGAGGGAAGAAGTGTTTCTACCGCCTCGTTTCATTGATTTCAAGGGGACCCATACACCTAAACTCTGGCAGCAATAAAATATCCTCTGACCTCTGCCTGTAGTCTAAAGCACAAGCTCAGATCCGAATAAAGAAAAGTCCATCACACAGGTTTTTGACAAGGTTACATTTAAAACCTTTTAAGACCATTATGAATTTTAGTTTTTATATTTAACGGAGGATATGAAGCAAACTCAGTAATGATTACATGGTGGTTTCATTTTGTAGTTGTTAAAGCATGATGACAAGAGATGACAATATAAACTTCTCCCAAAAGTTAGACTTATCGACAAAATCATAAAGATGGTGTATTTTCGTGATGTGTGATAACGATGGCGGCTGCTAAAGAGGTCAGCGTAGCTGCTGCTGCGTCACATTTACTGTCTAACTTTATGAGTGATGTCACTGTGGGTTCATTAATCTTTCCATCGCCCTGCAGCAACACTTCCTGTTTCAATCCAACGCTGACGTAAGATCAGATCAACCTCCAACAGAACCCCGAAGGGGAAACTGCATAGTTTCATCCTGATTAGTTAGACTGGTGTCTTTGTCCCTGCAGGCCGGAGTGGACGTCAACATCCGTAACACCTACAACCAGACGGCGCTGGACATCGTCAACCAGTTCACCACGTCGCACGCCAGCAGGGACATCAAGCAGCTGCTCCGAGGTCAGTCCAGCACTTCTTCCCTTCTACTGTTTCTCTTCCCTCCGTCTGTCTCTCTCTGTCTTCACCTGACTTCCTTCAAACAGCAGCTGTGTTTAAATTCTGGGTTATGTAACTCTTATCAGTGAGCTCCCACAGCTTCAAAGAGCAGACTGCTCCCATCCAGCCTCAAACTGAACAGAGCTGTATATATACAGTCTGTAATCCTGCAGCCGTTTGAAGTCCCTGTGGGAACAGACTGAGGGAATAATGAGCGGTTGCGTTCGAGAAGTGATTTAACAGAGAGTTTCTCGTCTTGTTTACGGCTGAGAGACGACTCGTACGCTCATTAATTATTGACGAGTCGTGTCAGCGGTTTCATGGAGCCGTCACTTCTCTAACTGACAGTTGGCGAGGATCAGGCCGCGAGGTTTAAAGGGCCAGTGTGAGGAGAAACTATGGTGGCCGCGAAATAACACAAAAGACCGTATCTAGAGCCAGTGTTTGGTTTGTCTGTTCAGGGTTACTGTAGAAACATGGCAGTTCAACATGGCGGACTCCACCACTAGAAGAGAACCAGCTCCCTCTGTAGATAAAAATGTCTCATTCTACAGCGTAAAAGAAGCAACAGTTGAGAAAACTCATAATTTAAAGGCAACTGTCTTCATTAAATGTTTATAGTCAAATATATATTATATAGATATAGACATACATATATGTCATATAGTCAAACTCTAACTTCTAATATTTGAAATAAACTTAAAAAAAATATTTGCCAACCTATGAATAATCTGTTGTTGAGGTAATTTACTTTTATTCTTTATAGAAGAAAAGTAAATTATGAAGTAAATCATCATTATCATTAGTTTATTTGAAAACTTTGACTTAAACCTAAAACAAATGTAATGAAACAGTTGCTTGAAGTTTTCTCAACCTTTTTTACAGTGCAAATAATGAAAATTCAGGTTGTTTCTAAAACTCAAAGATTAAAGTTTTTCTAAATAAGATAAAGTAAATTACCTCAACAACAGATTATTATTATTAGGTCAGCAAATATTTTTTTGGTTTATTTCAAATATTGTGTTTGACTTAACACTTATATAATTGAAGACAGTTGCCTTTAAATGAATTGATACTGTTTTTTTTACAGTGTTCTACTATACACTTGGAAGGCTGAGCTGTATTCAGTTAGTTGCAATCTGCAACGTCACCACTAGATGCCACTAAATCCTCCACACTGAAGCTTTAACGTACAGATCTTCACTTTTACTTAGCAATTTGTTTTTGTTTTTAATATTAAATGTCAGTTTAGTTGGTTCAGAATAATTTAACAAAGAGAAGAGATTCACTCACCTTCTAAGACGTGTTTGAACAATATTTAATTACTCACGATAAGCAAGAGAGGATGTTACTCACTGTTTCTGATTCCTACTGTTAATTATAAGACCTTTATGTATTTATTAACTGTTTGTTAACCAAATCTGTTTATTGCTGAAACAATAAAACAAATGTGCTTTAAAAATCCTGGATAATGGAGGATTTTGGAGAATGTTTGGTGTTTTTTGGACTCATTATATTAATTATATTGTTTCTGTAAAGAAAATAATCTAATTTCAGTAAAAGAAGGAGTTTAGATGTTCTGTGAATATTTCCTCGACAGATGCGACAGGTGTTTTGCAGGTCAGAGCTCTGAAGGATTACTGGAACCTCCACGACCCGACCGCCCTCAACATCCGAGCCGGAGACGTCATCATGGTGAGACGCTCAGAGATCAGTCAGCCAGAATTCAGCCTCATTAAACAAAGACAAATCATTTCAACTTGGGCCTTATTTTTGTAGTTTTGTTCTTAAATGTATGTTGGTTTAATTGATATGTTACCAGGATAATGCATTAATACATTCAACAGATATTAATTATTGGAGGGTTATTTTGTAGCTCGACTAAAGGAAGTGGGTTAAGTTGTGTTTTGTATCTGTACAAATACCTTTAATTTGTACTTAATTTAATGTACTTAGTTACTCTCCTCCACTGTGAGTGATTATATTTCAGTGTGAATCACTTCTGACTGTAAATCATCAGAAACTGTTCTTAGGTCAGACTTCCTGTCAGTGAGTAAAGCTGAAGGTCTGTGGATTCATGTTGGGACTTGTACTGAATATGAAACATCACAAAAGCTCTTTATGGAAAAATCGTTTCATGTTGTTCAATTATTTGTAGACGTTGAGTCAGTAGATGTTGAGTTCTTCTTCGGACTGACTTTGTTTAATTCACTTCAAAAAGATTTAGTGTTGAGTTAAAGGCATACAGTGAATGATCAGGTCAGTTAGCAGCTTCGGTGGAGCTACATAGAGAATGAATGAGGAGAGGGAGTAAGGCTAGTCGTAGTGATGATTGAGAGGGTTTATGTTTACAGTACATTGTTTTATAGGACAATCCTACCTAGTATGCTTTTAATTTGGAAGGCAGCTGTGTTTTGTTTACTTCCTGTGGCAGTTGACCTGAAGATATTTCCAACATGTGAGGAGACAGAAAGGAAGCTGATATTTACTCATGCATTTTGGGTGGGGGGTTGGTACCAGGTACCAGCGGCCCGTAGTGACCCGTCTCGTCCCCTGCAGGTGTTAGAACAGCACGTGGACGGACGCTGGAAGGGCCACATCCACGACACCCAGAGAGGGACGGACCGAGTGGGATTCTTCCCTCCGTCCATCGTAGAGGTCATCAGCAGACGCAACGGTCAGTCGCACACAGAGAGGACGACTCAGATCACACATTAAAACATCCAGCTGGAAACACTAGTTAAACTGGATCTGGTCCCATAAAGGTTTTATATATACGACATTCACTGCAACTAGAGCACCAGCATCTGAGACCTAAACAATGGGCACTACTGCCCACCAGACTCCATTGACAAAACCCATAGTTTTACCAATTGTAAAACACACTTGAAACTGGACAGAAACAAAATAAAACTCACCAAACTGTCTTTGTTAGTCTTTGCAACAACCATCAACTCTGGTTTGGTTGAAATAAATCCTTAATTCACAGAGTTAGACATGAAAATATTATTGAAAAGAGCTGCAATAAACCCAAAATAAGCTAATGATAATTCTTGGGGACAAAGTGGAGTACAGTAGTTGTTGTTTGTTCCAATTAAAGTAGTAGATTCTCTCACTGACAGACTCAGGTTGTTATTGTCAGTGTCTGACAGCATTATGAAAAGATCCCTACAGAGATAGACCTT